CCCTCTGTGTTGAGGCGATCGACTAGGCCCTGAGCGATTCGGCGGGGGACCTTGACCCCTACCTCCCTCTTGACGATTCCTTTGACCGCCAACCCCTTGCGTGCCCGGACATCGACCTATCATGGCCCTGGCCTCCTCCTCTACCTTGCGGCCTCCCTCCAGCCGTGACAGCAGGGTACGTCCTCCCCTGACCTACACTACTGTCATCCTCTTCTAGTCCCCACTCAATTTGACTGTAGGGGACTTCGTCCGTACCACCCTCATCTAAAGTAAGGATCAAATGATCCTTGGACCTAACCTGACCTGAGATGGTTCGTCCCTTCCACTTTTTCCCTTTATCCAAATCCTTGTGCCAAAAAGTGCAAATTGGCATGGATTTCGCCTCAAACAGGACCACTTCTCTGCTTAACGCATCATAGGTAATGTTGGCCTGTTGGGTCTTTTCAAAGAAATGCCCTTGCAGGGGCTCTGGCATGGCACGATAAAACAAGTTAACTAGCTGGGTCTCAGTGACCCCGTGGTTTGGGATGGCTACTAGGTCATCCATCACTGCTTTGAGTGCTCTTGCACTCTTCCACTGCCGTGAGTGGATTGTCTGCAGTTTGTCGGAGGCCCTGACGCCTCCTGTGACGTCAACAAACCTCTCTCTCCGGAGTTTGAGGAAAGACTGAAGAGGGGTGAGTTTCGAGTATGCAACCATATTGTGTTCACAATCAGCTGCGCGCGCGAGCGACCTGGCAAAACTGGCCGCTTCATCCTTTAGCGCATGGAAGGCCACGAAAACTTGTTCCTCTGGCGCACTATGCTGCAAATACACGTATGGGTTGATACTGGCCTCCCAGTTATCAAAGTTTTCGTCCTTCTTCCCGCCATAAGAGTCAGAAACTTGAGCTTGACAGACTCTTTGCGGGGACGCGCTTCGGCCTCTGTCGTAGCCACTACTTTGGCGCCTTCAATAGCGCCTACACAGAACTTGTTTGCGCCTTCCTTCAGCCTCTTAACTTCGGTCCCGACGTGAGTCACCACTTCGCGCGCAAACTCTCTAAACCCGGTCCGGATGGCATGGAGGGCCATTTCTTGGCCCCTCACAGACTGATGGTGCTCGGTCCACGCCCTGCCTAGGAGCTCAATGCTCCCAAGGATCTTGTCCAACTTAGCCTTTATATCAGGCTGGGCCTCTACTTCTTGCCTACACGATTGTAAACTTTCCACTTCCCGGGCCATTCGGTTAGCCTCCTCCATCCTCCTCTTCTTCTCTCTCGCCAGACGTAATTTCCATTCCAACTTTTTCTCCTATTGTCTGGCGTTCCAGGGCATCCTCTGTCGCCTCGATCTCCCTGATTGCTGCTTCTTTCTCCTCCTGAGGCACGTACAACATCGCCTCCTCATCTTCTCCCAAAGATAAATTAGCCACCCATTCAGATATCTTCTTCTCCACCCACAGATCATCCTGTTTTGTGCCACTGCTCTCTCCTTTGGTGCCCGCACGCCTCCTTTCAAGGGCCTGTTCTTCTTCTTCTGGCTGCTCCTCCTCCTCTATCTCTTCCTCTTCTACTGCAGCCCTCATCTTCTCTTCCTCCTCATGTTGTACTCTCCTCATCTCTTCCTCCAACTTTTTCTTCTTCGCCGCCTACTCCTCTGCTATTATCTTTAACTTCGCCTGCTTAAGGAGCTCCTTCTTCTCCCTCTTCTCTTTTCTCTCTTTCAAGATGGCGACGGTTTGCTCCTCTTGAGCCTGGGTGTAAGGGGTAGTACTCTTCCCACTACGGAGGTCAACCATGGTGACAGGCGCACAACTGGACAACAGTTCCACTCCTCACCACTTAGACTTCTACCCCCTGACTAACACAACCTAACCGACTCGATCTATGGACCACAGAATCTGGATAGGATCCTGTCAACTAGGGTCACTATCCTATACCTAAACTATGGTCGTCACTACAACACTCACTGCTCATCAGGGGGCATTTAAGGAGATCCCCCGTAACTCCTCAGGAATTATTTAACGTCGCACACAGGACGACGTGATCAGCAAGTCCTCTCAAGACTTAGACGGCCTGTTGTGCAGCCCACAGCTCAGATTTTGGGTCTACCGTGTCACACCGAGCAGCCCGCCGGTCAGTACCGGTCCTTGGGAGGGTTCGTGTCCTCCGGGACAATCGAGTCGTGAGACAGTCTTTGGCCCTACTCAGCCCGTGTGGGTTTGGTCAACAAGGCCTTATCCTTCATACACAGAGTTCCTACACCTGGACAGAAGAGACTCGATGCAGAAAGAAGAGACAGACAGACTCAGCAAGTACCACAGGGTGTGTGCACATCCATAGGGCGAGGGGAGAGGCTAAAGGCTTGGCGAGAATATACCAACTCCGGCTTGGTCAAACTGACGGTCAGCAGCTCTGGTCAACGCTTGGTCAATGCTGGTCCGCACCTTAGTCAACACTGCAGTCAACTCCGGTCAACTCCCGGTCAACACTCACCCGGCTACGGCTGTTGTCTTCTGCCCCACTAACCTCCGCTTTCTCTTCTCTCTCCTTCCTCGCCTCTTTCTTCTTCCACCCCGGTTATTTTCTTTTCGTTTTTTTTTTTT